ACTCTCGAGGGCAGTGATTTATACATTTATTGAGTCATTTATGCATCACTAAGTAAATAGTCATTGAGCGTCCGCTGGATGCCAGGCTCCATCCTAGACACTTGGAGATATAGCAGTGACCTTAAGAGAGTGACCTTGACCACTGTCTCAAAGAGCATACATTTTTGTGGAGGACAGAGAAATAAACAATAAGTAAGCAAACAGAATAGTTTTAGAGAATCAGTGCAATATATAAAACTGAAGAGGATAAGTAGGGCAGTAGGGTAGAGAGGGATGGTGAGAGGAGAATGCTACTAGGGCCGTCAAGCAGAGGAGATGGCATTTGCGTTGAGATTGGAATGGTGAGTTGGCGGCAGTCTTGGGGATGGGTTCTGGGAGAAGAATGTTCCACTCAGAATGAAGAGTAAATGCCAAGGACCTAGGTCAGAAAAGAGCTTGGTGTTTTTGAGAAGAAAAATATCAGTGTGGCTGGAGGGGAGTCAGAAAGAGGAAGTGGGGCAAAAGTGGTGAGAGATGTCGAGGTAGGCTGGTCCCAGAACATGCATGACCTTGGTAAACCAAGTGAAGAGTTTGCAAGTCATTGTCATCAGAAGCAGGAAGCTCAGGAAGGCTTGATGTAGGAAGTGACATTACATGAGACATGTTTGAAACTGATGACTCGGGGAGGGTTTTTTTCTTTACTTTCTTTTCTTTTCTTTGTCTTGCTTTTCCTTTTGCTTTTATTTTGAGGGGTATACCATAAATAAAGTTCATATATAGTAACTAACTGTCCAGCTGCATGAACTTCTACATATGTATATACCTGTGGAACTACACCCATAGTAAGTTACAGAACAATCCCAACACACCCCAAGGGCTCACTCATGCCCTGTCCAGCCATTACCTCCACCGCTATTATGATAACTTCTATCACTTCTAGTTTTGCCTATTTTTGAACAAAATATAAGTGAAATCACATAGTATGCACTCTTTTTTTTTTTTTGGTCTGGAAAATATTTCTATGTGACATTCTATGGAACGAATATCTCACAATTTATCTTACAAATGATGGACTTTTGGGATGGGGTGATTCTGAATAAAGCTGCTATGAACATACTTGTACAAGCCTTTTGGTAGACATATATGCTTATTTAGGTTGGATATATACCCGGGAGTAGAATTGCTCCATCTTAGGATTTATATATTTAGTAGATAACCATCAAACTGTTTTCCAAAGTGGTTGTACCAATTTACGTTCCCACTTAAAATACATGAGAATTCTAATTCTTCCCATTCTTACAAACACTTGGTATTATCAGTCCTTTTAATTCTGTTTTGGTCGGAGTATAGTGGGGGAGGTCTCATTGTGGCTTCTTGCAGGGGAGTGGAAGGGGTTGTTTCTTGTAGGTGTTTATGATTGTGTTGTTGATTATACAGTTTGGTTTTAAAACTTCGATTTTCAGGCTTCCTGGCTTTCATTCCCTTTTCCCAACACCACATTATTATTTTTTTTTCCCCTTGTAATACCCCCAAAGAGCAACATAAAAGTCAAGCAGGCTGATATGACATCATCATTGTCTTTCAGGAATGTGAAATTTCATTTTTTATAGAGTGACCCTATTCCAAGATAGAAGGGAAAATAGAAAACAGGGCTTAGAACTTGAAAGAGAAAATTTGGGTCAGGCTCCGGCTTAATGCAGTTTCCATTCTTGGAGCCAAAAGACCTTCTAGTCAATGCACAAAGGGAGTCACTGGGGTGGGGATTGTTGGTTTCATTTCATGCTCATTGTATCACTGCATCGGGGTATCTAGGATTTTGCCCTCATGAAGAAATTAAGGGCGTTATGCTTCATTTCCTGTTTTGGAAAACAGAGTCTCTGGCTTAAAAAGGCTACTTGCATATTGTTTTAAAAAATTGGGTTGATAGTTCATCATATCATAATTAAACTAATTCAAATACTGTTATTTTCCAACAGCTTTAATGAGGTCTTCCACTTGGCGGAGAACTATGAGACCCCAAAATATTGCCATTTGTTAAAAGATGGAGAAACTCTGATGACAAATGACTCTATTCAGCTGCATTTCGGTTAATAAGATTTATGCATTAATCTAGTTATACTTTGTTCCCTCGAGTTTGGCAAACTTCTGAAGTTTTCCGATTTTCTACTGTGTCTCCTGCTCCCCAACCCCATCTCCTCCATAGAGAATTCCTGGCGTCTGAGTTAAAATAGGTGGAAATATTCTCTGTTTCCAGCCGAGGCTCCCCAGCTTGGTTGGAATGCTCGTCTGGTTGTAATAGAGCATGCTTTTCGGCCAGCAACTCTTAAAATAGCTCCTCGGCTTATGAAGCAGAAAATAGAAGTTTGGGCAGCCCAGTGTCAGCTTACAGGATGTTGCTGGCTGCTTGCTTTGGGGGGCAGTGTTGCTCTAGCTTGAGAACTCAGAGAAAGCCTCTGGTGAGTGATGGCTCTCCTTTGCGCAATTTTGTATCTGCACTTCTTGTCAAGTAATCATTACAAATGTTTCGTGGAGAAAGGAGTTGGCTCCGAGCAGAGGTCTGCCTCTTGGAAGAAGTGAGGCCCTGAAGGGTGGGCACTGGTCTGTCTGCGGTAAAATTTTCCCCTTTGACAGTGTAATTAAGTGGTAATTAACCAAATGAGTGTAAATGTTGAAGGCTGAGATAAATATCTGCATTTCCTTAATCTATTTTTCCCCTCTAAAATTTGATAAAGGAAATTTGGATTTAATGGAGGATATATGTCAATTTTTTTTTTTTTTTAAGATTACAAATCTGTTTAGAAGGAACTCAGGTCCACGGGTTTGGAGTTCTACAGGAAAAGTTAGCAGCGTATAAAGATAGAGGAGGTACCATAAAATGTGGATGCGCTATTGCAATAATTATGTTAAGAAGGCTTAGTGGAGCTACCTTTTGGAAACATCTGGTTTATTTCTGCTCTTTCCATATCCTGCAGATGTTGCTGAACCCATGAAATGTACTAACAGGAGAATACATTAGCTCACGAAGTCATTCCAATGAATAAAGCAAAGAATGGCCTCTTAACTTTCTAAAAAATCTAGTTAGGAAAGAATTCTGCTTTCAGAGCAGGCAGAGATTAGGCCAATAATTGAGAGGGGCCCAGGGCCTTCTAAAAGTGTCAATAGTGATCTGTTCTTGCCAAAGGGGAAAAGAGATGCTTTGTGGAGGGGCGGCCAGAGTAATAAATGGGAATCTTTGTAATTCAAGTACTTTCTCATTACCTTCCTTGGTTAGTGATTAAAAATAGGGCTGAGGATGGGGCAAGGGAAGCCCACTCCTTCTGCGATTGGTCTTAGAGCTAAAGGTTCCTGAGTCCATCTGGAGTTCAGCTCTTCTGCCTCACCTCCTGGCCTCTGGAGCCCCAAGTGAGACTCAGAGGCAGGTAGACGGCTCGTGTGGCCAAGGCAGACGCTGTGGGAAGGATGCATAATTGAGGTACCATCTGTGGCATGGGGCTGATGACAGCTGCACGATGCCCTGACACTGCTGTGTCAACACCCTCGGCAGGCAGGAAAAGACAGGGGCAGGCGCATGTATGCTAAGGCTTTGGGAGAGCAGACACAGGCATCCCTGAGGGGGAGGGCCTGAGGAGTTTGAGTTTATTAAATAGGAGTTGGTTGCCTATGAGATTAACACCCTGAAATAAATGCAAAGTTAAGAAATATTTTGGCCTCCAGCCCACTTGGCAGGAGGATTAGGAACTTGGAGTGGTCAGAAGGACAAAGCCTTAAAGGGCCAATGTCACATTTAGTTTCTGGCCAGCTGTGATCTCTAAATTTCCCTATCATTTACATCATTCCTTTGGGTTATAGCGTCATGTGATGTGTTCCACAGACCCCTATTAAAATGTGTAACAGATGTTTTTCTGGCCACCGGCCTGGCAGACGAGAAGGATGCACTCATATAAACCTATCTATGAGAAACTAGTATTTCTCTGGTTCAGCTCTGAATCGTTGAACTGCCGTTACTGACATCCAGCCCTATTTGCCTCCTTCCCTGTGGGGCAAAGTGGATGAATCTCTGGGATGTCTCAGAAAAGACTTTCTTGCACGTTCTTCTAGGGTTTCTGGCTTCCTTCAGGTCACTGAGGAGGGGTCTCTACTGCTTGAGCCAAAGCCCTCCACTTCTTCAACAATTTCATGTATGTTTCCACCAGGCACTAGCTCCTGGCTGACTAGTTATCCCTTTCCCTAGGTCAGGAGAAATCTCTTATGAAAATCATGTAAGCTCTGTCTCCTCCTCGGAGAATGATTTTAAATTCCCCCTAACCTTTCGCCCCACCAGGGTTACACCTTCCTTCTCCTTCTCTTTTGCAACTGGCAAATTTCTGCTTTTGATCCTTCAGCTGTTATTTCCCTATACTCAATTGACAGATTAAACCCAATATGACCAGTTTTTAAACCTCTTTGGGAACTTTTGACACTAATGTAAATGTGTAACTTCAGGAAAGAGGTTTAGCATCGTTGTCATTACCATCATAATAATTTTTAACGTTTATACCACCTTTTAGAGTGAATGACATGTTTTCCCGTCTATTATTTCTGCCGATCCTTAAAGCAATACTGATATAAGCAAGACAGAAATTACGATGCTGAGGTTACAGGTGAAGAAATCAATGCTCACAGAAAGTAAAGCTGTTCATTCAAAGTCATGTGGCCAGTTCAGCTGGGATTCAACCCATTTCAGATTCCAAGCTCAATGATTTCCTGCACATAGAGAGCCCTTATTAATACTTTAACATGGTAGGAACTTAAAAGCGTAGTCCACAGGATGGGAATGTTTTTGTAGGGCAGTGTAAGGATACCAAGAGTTCGAGAAAGTAGGGGATCCAGACAGAAACAGAGATATGGAATCTAGAACTACTTTTCCCTAAAATGTGTACTGCAAGATTTCAATAGGTATATTGTCAGCTAAAGAGTTCCATAACCAGAGAGGCTTGATACATATTAAATTAAACAATGTCATGAAAATTTTCTGATTACAGCATTCCCAGAGGCTTTGACACACATTACGAATTGCCAAGGCAGGGATCAGACATGCCATGAGCATTTGCAAACATGTTTGATACAGGGCCCTTCTTGACTAAACCATCTCATGACAACACCCTTGGGAGAATGCTGGTCAAAAACACCATCATTTACTGCCTCAGATGAAGGTAAGTCGGTCAAAGAGGGGAAGGGTGAGAAGTGTTCAGATGTCAGGGAAAGATCTAGAAGTCAGGTTTATTCTGTTATCTAATTACTGAATCAAAAATTTGATCATTCAGTTTAGTTGATTTTATGTTAAGGTCCTAGAAAGGGTAAAACTAGTATGTCAATATTCCAGCTGTGAGATTTTATTGGAAGAGGAACTGGCAAGACTAAGGGGGAGGGGGGCAATTGGGTGAGAAGACCACGCAGGAAGAGGATGGAGAGCAGGTTCTCGTCTCGAATGTCTCTAAATAGTCTTGGCCTTGTGACTTTGGTCAAGTCACTACACCATCTGGACTCTGGTTCCCTCTACTATGAAACAAGCAGAATAGATTAAATGGTTTCTTTTCAAGGTTTAATAATTCTATGAATAAACGTTATATGTTAAAGAGGGAGATAGTGGCTGTCTAAGGTGAAGATGAACTGGAGAGTTAATTTCCTGAGGAATCTTAATTTCTATAGATGCTAGTTTAGCATTGCCAGAGGGGAAAGGTGAGAGGCCAAGTGGGATCAGAAGCAATTTGCCTTGCGGACACCAGCAGACAAAGGGTCCGCCATGTTACCCCTACTATTAAAGACAAATGACCCCAGAATTCCAATCTGAAAGCCAGAGAAGAATCATTAGATAGCTAGCCTTGAATGGAAAACAGAGAATACCTTACCAGCCAGACAGCAGGCTTTGGAGAAAAGAGGAGGAATGAAGGTTAATCAGAAAACCTACTGAGAAGGGAGACAAAATCATCAGAGAGTTGAGGAGTTGGTGGAGGAGTCAAGGAAATGGAGAATAATAATTGAACCAAGTGTAGGGGGAGCTCTTACAAATGGGGAGGGAGAGAAACTGGGGTTGGGAGGATGGAAGAAACATAAAAATACCTGAATGTTTGTGGCTTCCTGTGAACAGATCTTGACACCCATGACACAGGAGGAAGCTGATATCATATGCTTCTCTACTCAAGACCCAAAAAGTATAAAAATTGAATTCCACACTGTTTCTTTCAAAGAGGCTCTGGTCAGGGGCATGAGAAATACTGGAATAAGAGTTAATAGTCTGAATGAATAAAGAAGATGTGGTATAGATACATACAATGGAATACTACTCAGCCATAGAAAAAGAATGAATTAATGCTTTTTGCAGCAACGTGGATGGACCTAGAGATTATCACACTAAGTGAAGTAAGTCAAACAGAGAAAGACAAATATCATATGATATCGCTTATATGTGGAATCTAAAGAAAAAGATACAAATAAACTTATTTAGCAAACAGAGAGAGACTCACAAGCTAGAAAACAAACTTATAGTTACCAAAGGGGAAAAGGGATGGAGGGATAAATTAGGAGGTTGGCATTAACATATATACACTACTATATATAAAATAAATAACCAATAAGGACCTACTGTATAGCACAGGGAACTATACTCAATATTTTGTAATAGCCTATAAGGGAAAAAAATCTGAAAAGGAATATCTGTCTATCTACAACTGAATCACTGTGCTGTACACCTGAAACTAACATGATATTGTAAATCAACTATACTTCAATAAAAAATTAAAAGCAGCTCATAATCTGAGACCAAAAGTGGTTCTGGCCCAATAGCTCTTGAGTCTTGGAGTATAATGATGGGTATGAATTTGTTGTCTATCCACCATTGACCCGCTGAGTGATCTGAAAGTCATTTCTTCTCTCCAAGAGGTTTGAACTCACTGGGAAGCAGAGAACAGAGGAAAAGAAAAATTGGATGTGAAGGCCAATATTTTCAGGAGGACAAGGTTAAAGCCTACATCCCTTAAAATCGGAAGTACTGAGCCTCCTGGAAATTGCGACTGCTTAACTTCTCTGTTCTACAGATGGCCGTCATCCCCATGCTGATAGGACACAGAAAGCAAGGCAACACAAAGTTGCCTTAATGATAGGTCTTTGTGGTGACTGGATCCAGGAAGAGAAGGAAATGAGACGTAGTTTACAGCAACATCACAGTGTTGGGCCAGACCCTGCCTGGGCATCTGTGCCTGTGTCGGGAAGCATGGGGCCTCAGCCATGATCCAGCAGGTCAGTCCAGTGCAGAGCTGTTCTTTGTTCTGCTCTTCTCTAATCTCACTAAACTCTGCAGCAAGTATGAAATGAAAAGTTTGAAATGAAACAAGTATTATGTGGACACATGTTAGAAGCCTCCTGAGATATATTCCTTGGTTTTAGAAGCTCTAGGATTCTCTGACCCTTGGGAATTTTCTGCAGCAGCAGTGTCTACATTGGGCAGCACAAAATATGACCACACAGTGTAGGAAAAGCGTCCTAATAGAGGGAAAATAAATGAAGAAAAAGCCCATGTGTCCTCTGCTATAGTCACTCATCACAAACAGAAAGGTCCTTCTGTGAGCCTGGCACCAAGCTGAACCAAAATGGCCAGACATGGCCGTGTCTTTCTTTGAAGGGTTAACAAGGGGGGATACTCTTATTTAGATAGGGAACAGCACTTTCTTGGGAAGTCCCTTGGCCAATAATACACTTGATTTGACTTGTGTAGAAGTCATCTCATCGCAGCCTGTTTCTAAGTCATGCCAAAAGTAAGCTGAAAAGTGAACATGTCAGCTAGTCAAGCAGACTTTTCTAACTCTCTGGGTCCTTAGCAACATGCACGGCAAACTTCTGTTTAGCCAGTTAGCACATCTGTCTTGGAGGAAATAATGGTGTCTTGCCACCATAGATGTTTGAGTAAATGGGTAGGAACAACCATAGATGTGAGTAAATGGGTAGGAACAACCCATCCAAACTCATCTCACATGAGCTGTCTGGAAGGTCAGGCCCGTCTTGCCCTTGAATTGCAAAGCTATCTTTGGTCAAAGACTGGCTTTTCGTTCCTAACTCTCGTGTGTTCAGTGGCTCAAGAAATATATGCCGATGCAAAAGAGAGCAATGCCAGGCAATTCAGATCTCCTTTTCCTGGTCAAGGAGCAGCAACGACATTGACTTTCTTCTCTATAGAGCCTTACTCCTCACCAGCTATGAATAATTTTTCCCCCCTACCCACGACAGTCTCTTCCCCTTGCTCCCTCTCAGACTAGCCTCTCAAGGACAGAATCCATATCCTGTTGCCTTGTTCTCCCATGACTGCCTGGGTACTGTGCACATAGGAGGTGATTTATAGATATGGACTGAGTGAATGAACTGAGTGAATGAACCACTGTGTGGTTCTTTTAAGAAACCACATAGACTTTTCCATGCTGAGCCAGACCAGCCTGCTCCAGGTTCTTTGCTCTTCTTCTTTAGATCACTTTAGTTTCCTCTTTTTATCTGTCACCGCCTTCTCTGCCCCTTGAGGTTCTTCTTCATGCAAGTTAGACTAAGGAGACACAGTGTTCCAGCTCCTCTCTTTCTTTTTGCTCTTGCTATAGACTGAATGTGTCCCCTCAGAATTCATATGCTGAAAACTAATCCCTAATGTCATGTTATTTGGAGGTTGGGACTTTGGGAGGTGATTAGGTCATGAGAGCAGAGCCCTCATGAATGAGATTAATACCCTTATAAAAAGAGACCCCAGATGTATATATGTGTATATATATATTTATTTATATACACAATGAACTATTACTCAGCCATAAAAAAGAATGAAATAATGCCATTTGCAGCAACATGGATGGACCTAGAGATTATCTTACTAAGTGAAGGAAGTCAGAGAAAGACAAATATCATAAGATATCACTTGTATGTGGAATTTTAAAAAAAAGATACAAATGAACTTATTTACGAAACAGAAACAGACTTGCAGACAAAGAAAACAAATTTATGGTTACCAAAGGAGAAAGGGGTCAAGGAGGGATAACTAGATATCTATATTCTATTTATGTGTCTATCATCTATCTATCTATCTATCTATCTATCATCTATCTATCTATCATCTATCTATCATCTATCTATAACTGAATCACTTTTCTGTATACCTGAAACATTGTAAATCAACTATACTTTATTAAAAAAATAAATGAAGATGCACACATTAAAAAAAAAAAGAGAGACCCCAGAGAGCTCCCTTGTCCTCTCCACCGTGTGAGGACACAGAAAAAAGGTGATCGTCTATGAACCAAGAAGCTGCCCTCACCAGACACCCATTCTGCTGGTGCCTTGATCTTGAACTCCCCAGACTCCAGAAGAAATATATTTCTGTTGTTTATAAGCCACGTGGTCTATGGTATTCTGTTATAGCAGGTGTAATGAATAAGACAGCTCCTGAAAATAAGCCCTCTCTCCTCATGAGGTTTTCCCTCCTGATGATTGTAGGAAATCACATACAAAAATAACAAACAAAATCATGCCATGTTCTGATAGTCCTGTTTCTGTTCTGTAGCTCTAATGCCTCTGAAGTTGCTGCCTCTGAAGTTGCCAATGAAAGAACTTGCTGTGTTTATTGCTGTAACCTGAATATAACTAACATACCACATGGCCCTGTCTCTGCACAATATAGAGTCAAAGAAAGAGCAGTATGTCAGGGGAAAATAATAGAAAGATGTTTAAATGTTACTACTCTCAAAGAGAAGGGGTTGGCAAACTGTGGCTCCCAGGCCAAATCTGGGGTTTTTTAAAATAGTTTTTTGCTTGTTTGTTTAAATAAAGTTTTATTGAGACATAGCCATATTTGTTTATGTTTTATCTATGTCCACTTTTTGTGGCAAAGTTGAGTTGCTGTGACTGACACTGTGTGGTTCTAAAAGCTGAAAATATTTACTATCTGTCCCTTTCCAGGAAGTTTGTTGACCCCCATCTTAGAAGACGCCAGAGTGGGGAGATCATTCTTAATGTACTGGAAAACATTTTTTTTTTCCTATTTCTGCCACACTTTGTGATCACCATGGAGACAGCAGGTCTCTCAAAGAAGAAAATGATCCTTTTTGTTCTCTCAACTTCCATCAAAAACTCCTTGAAATACAGCCCAGGTAGCTCCTAACTCCTCCATTCTGACTTGTCCTCTTTTAAATCAAATTCTTCTCTCCAGCTAGTAATTCTAATTTTTCCCCCTAAATACAAAAACTCTACCCTGACTCTGCTCATTCCATTTTTCAGTGCTTTCTACTGTTTATCCCAAACAATCGAAGAGAAGGTTCAGGGTTCATGCCACAGGGGTCTTCCTTAGGAGGGTGTGTGAAGCGAAGGCTGATAGGCTGGTCAAAATCATACAATTTGCTCCTGCTACAGAATGAATCATTTTGACGATAGTCACAGTCCTGAGGTGAAACTCACCAACAGCTCAACTTTATGCAGTCCTGGCCTTTTCATCTGAATCTAGAACTCTGCATGGCATCCTCTCTTCCTGCATGTAGCCTTACAGTGATGACTGCCCACTTCCCTCACGTGGGTCTCAGGTGGAAAATCAGACCCTCTCGGGCTTCTTACGAGCACCCATCCATCTCCCAGGGCTTCTGCCCCTTCCAGTCAAAATTCCTCTAGGACATTTCCTTATTCTTCTCACAGCGTTCACATTTGCCATATGTGATATATGTGTGTGTGTGTGTGTGTTTTAGTAATTTATTTTCCTGGTTTTAAAAGTGAATTCTATTCACTGCAGGAAAGTTAAAGTACAAAATTGTATACATAAGAAAAAAAAATCACCTATAAACCCATATGCAGAAATAACCAGTTTGGTTTACATTTGGGTATGTAATTTTATAATTATTATTGTTAGTGTGTATGTGACTCTTAAACACACACACATACGCATATATATACATGTACACACACGTACACACACAGACATATATATAAAATCGTTGAGTCAGATTTTCATTTTGAGTGTATTCTTAGTTTTATGTTTCTTTTCATTTAGTGCTATATCCTGTGTCCTGGCTTTTGGGTTTGTACTACTATAACTTAACTTGTAGTTCAATAATTGCTTCCATGGACTTTTCTAATTAGTTCATAAATTCCTTGAGTGCAGGGATAGTTTCTCCTTTATATTCTTCTCCTCTCCTTACCTCCATTCCCATTCTCGCCACCACCAGTGTCATTTAGGAGTACAGAAGGAGTGTTTGATAAATATTTTCTGAGTGGAATGGACTGAAATGATGTGCACACACCCATAGGAGGAAACCTGAGGGCCTGATCTTCCTCTCTTGTTCTTGCCACACAGGGGAGGTCACAGCTTGAGACGAGCCGCGAATGGTTGTTTGGCTGGCGCGCGCAATACACCTGCTGAGTTATGAGCCTGATGAATCATTTGCCTGGCTGTCTTGTTAGTCATGCTGAACTGAATGCTACTTTTCCAACCAAAGAGGTCCAAACCAGGACTCTTCCTTTGCTTTGGTCTTGGGTGAGTGTTTTCTCTGCAAATAGTCTCCCTCCTTCTTTAAAAAATCTATAATAATGGACTTACAAAAACAGTATTCAAAGAATATTCTCCACCGCTCTTGCTTTTCTAATAAGAGTTTTATTCTCTATGGTCAAGTGAATTTCATTTCTTTTATTTATACATAAAACCGAGTAAAGATATCAACCTTGGGATAAATGAATAACGAGGCATGACCCTGCCGGGTACTTCCCTTGGGGGACAAAACAAACAACAAAACCACCCCCCCAAACTCATTCTTATCTATTTCATTACATGCTTTGGCAAGTCTAAATGACCCACTCGCTTAACTGACCTATTGGTTTTGTTTATGTTTTTTAAATTTACTCTTTTGCGAAAGTTAATGTCGCCTTGCTTTGGCATCCAAACTTCTCTCTTCTTTCCCGGGCTTCCTTACAGACACCCCCCGCTCCCCCATTCCTTAGATGAGGAACTGCAAGGGTCACTGAAGTTAATGAAAAACACAATCATGACAACATGAAACTAGAGGCTCAATTTGGCTTGAAGGCGCTCCGTTTGGGTGTATCACATTGCATTAGATGATGTAAGGGCTTCATATGGGTTAATCAAAATGTAACCTCAGCCTTACTCAAATCACCTGTTGGACTGCTGTTTGCCAGAGGTTGAGCCTTCCTGATGCTGCTGGGTCTGTAATGCATTTAGCTAATCATAATCCCTTCCATTTGGGAGAGTGCCTTCTACTTTTCAAAACTCTTTCACCTCTATTATCTCATTTGATCCTTACTCAGCCCTGGAAACATTTCCCATTTTACAGATGGGGAAACCCAGAAGAAATTGACTTGCTTATGGTCACACAACAAGTTTCTCCAGTATCTCTCTCTATCCTTCCCTCTATGTTTCTTTCTCTGAACTATTATAAATAACTCACTAAAGTTTATGCATCTTTTTCATGTTTCTACTTAACACCATTCAGTGTATTTTCTTATGGTTGGGATTAACATAAACACACTGCTATATATAAAACAGATAACTAATAAGGACCTACTGTATAGCACAGGGAAGTCTACTCAATATTTTGTAATAACCTGTAAGGGAAAAGAATCTGAAAAAGAATATATATATATTATATATATATATAACATATATAAAACTGAATCACTGTGCTGTACACCTGAAACTAACACAACATTGTAAATCAACTATACTTTAGTACAAAATTTTTAGAAATTAAAATACAATCATATTAATTGCCCATGATTTTATATTAAAAGTTGAGTTCTCAAGTGCCATATTCCACAATCCATGATTTAAAGACACCCAGTGCTGAAAAGAAATCTAAATGTCCCTCAGTCTATACCTTGGCCTCTTTGTCCCTACTTTCTTTTTTTTTTTTTTTTTTGCGGTACCCAGGCCTCTCACTGTTGTGGCCTCTCCCGTTGCGGAGCACAGGCTCCGGACGCACAGGCTCAACGGCCATGGCTCACGGGCCCAGCCGCTCCGCAGCACGTGGGATCTTCCTGGACTGGGGCACGAACCCGTGTCCCCTGCATTGGCAGGCGGACTCTCAACCACTGCGCCACCAGGGAAGCCCTGTCCCTACTTTCAAACCATCATAAACTGGGACACTCTGAGGGTGACTGACCTCAGTTCCATTGGAACACCTTTCCCATATCCATAGCCTTTCCCATATCCATAGCCTTTCTCTGGTCCAACTATCCTTTTGGTAAGAAGTCTCTGTCATAACTACCCAAGTCCTTTCCTCTGCAATTTCAACCACTTGCACCTTCTGCTCTCAACACAGTCAGCAAACAGCCCTTCTCTTTTTGTATCCAGTATCAGATTCTGATTTCCTGCCCTTTACCTCTCCCCAGATTTGAGGTTTTGCTTCACATCAAGATGATTTATGACCTAAAGGAGGTTAACACCCTGGAACTTATTTTTCTGATAAAGTGTAGCTTCTCTAACAAAAGACCTGAAAGTCTTGACAGCAAGTTATAGCCAGAGTCAAAGCGAACTTTTGTCTCTTTGGGACCCTGTTTCCTGAATCTCAATTTCAGAGAATCCAGGGACACTTACACGCACTCCCAGGAGTGGGGACGTGAGGTGGCGTCAGCCACATGCAGGCTTCCCTGTGGCTGAACTCAGCTGCAGACTGTAAACTATATGTTACTCATACAATCCCATTTTCTAGTCCCTCTTTATGTGTATTTCCCTTTTGTCATCCTCTAGCCTCTAGTAAACTCTTGTTTAAATGCTTCTGCCTCATTTCAGCTGTACTACGGGGAATTCAGGAAAAGGTTGTTCCCATACTTGGGACAGAATGTGAAAGAGGCAGAAGTTCCTTCTCTGCCCCAGGGTTGATGTGTTGAGCTGATAGCCAGGGAGAGCTGAATTTCCAATGTGAGGGACAAAATCAAGTGGCCTAATCACTCGTCCCTGTTGGAGAGCATCCCTCCATTGTCCATCTTAAAGGATCTACCCTTCATTTTACTGAGGATGACAGTAGCTTTTTATTTGGATAAAGAATCTTATTGTTAACTCATTTAGCAAATACTGAGCACTCAACCTATGTAATATATACGAAGGTTCAAAGATTCATGTGGTACTTTATCTGTCCTCAGGGAGCTAATAACAGGTGGATAAGACCTAAACATCAATGACTATAATCTTGAGGGCAGCTGGGAGGTACAAGGTAATCACATGTTAAAAGGGTCCCTTTCAGGTTCTGGTCCAGGCAAGGCTCTTGGTACTGGTAATATCTGAACTGGGCCTGGGAGGCCAGGAATTTCTGGATAGGAAATGGCCTTGGCAAAAACACAGAGGCAGGACATCTTCAGGATTCAAAGAGTTCATGTAAGGGACGAGTGGGAAAGGAGTTGGACAGCAAGATTGAAGCCTCATCATGTGTGTCAAGGAAGCAGGTATGGAAGGCCTTGAATGCCACTGTCGGTGACTCCCACACTGTTCGTTCACTTGCCGGTTATACATGGTGAATTCCAAAGGTAGTGGCAGATTCAGGGACATGGTGCTGTGGGTAGTAGAATAGAGAACATACGGACCCTGCAGTTAGGCAGACTGAGTGAGAATCTCATGCCTGCTGCTTGCTGCTGTGTGACTTTGGCCAGGTTATATGACCGTTTATGGCCTCAGTTTACATGTCTGTAAAATGGGGATGAAAGGAATAAAAATGCCCTCATATGGCCATTTTAAGGCTTAAATGAGGCAATATATGAAAAGTGAAAAATACAGCAAGCATGTAAAAATATTTGAATGTATTCTCATCCCTTTCCTGGGAATTGGCAGAGTATTACCCAGAGAGTCCCTGTAAGCTTCCCCAAGGGTACCCATACTCCTGGGAAGGAGCAGTCTAATCCTCATCCTTTACTTTACCTGCAGCCTAGCTTGGTTTCTACCTAATAGCCCAGAGGTGCCTTGTTATATTTTCTAGAGTAGGGCTGGATAAAATATAGCCTGACAGCCCAAATCCAGCCCGTTGCCTGTTTTTGAATGTCCTGGGAGTTAAGAATGATTTTTAATGATTAAGAAAAAAAATCAAAAGAAGAATATCTTGTGACATGGAAAAATTACATGAAATTCAAATTTCAGTGCCCACAAATAAGTTTCATCAAAGCACGGCCATACTCGTTTGTTTACATATTGTCTGTAGCTGCTTTTTGCCTACAATGGCAGAGCTGAGTAGCTGAAACAGGGATCATATGGCCTGAAAAGCCTAAAATATTGACTCTCTGATTCTTTACAGAAATGTGTGCCAAACCCTGGTCTACATCACACTCTTCTAATTCCTGTTCCAAGAGTCGTGATGAATCTATAGAGCATGAACACTTAATTTTTCATTTTAGATCTTATAAGTCTGCCTGAGGAAGTTTTGCATTGAGTAGTGTTTGCTTACTTTCCAAAAGGAGTCTCCCATGTCCCCAAGTGCATGTGGCTTATTACCCTCTCTCCATGGGGGCATCACAGACACAAGTAATGTTATTTTAATCTGCAAAGGTGGAATTGAAGTTTCACTATCAGAGAAAAAATTTCTGTGAACTTTAAATGAGCAGTTTATTTAAAACTTTTAAAACATCAAAAGTTTAAAAACAGTGAAGTAAGAAGGAAAAGAAAGCCCTGTTGCTTTTTAAGTTGAATTCAAGTTCTGAGGCTTAGGGATAGTACCGATGATTGTTTTTGTTAAGAATGAACCTTCTCTTTTGAACAATGTTGAGGATAAATGTCCTCAGGTTGCCTGTCAGTGTTGCTATTGTAGAATCTGCCTCCATGCAAGTCTGTCTACCTTTTCTTATCCTTAGATGAACTTCAGTATAGTAACCAGTAAAGAATGAGATTGTGCTACTCAAATCTGATGAGTCAAACCTTCCCTCTGTCAGCACTAGAGCTACTTTTGCTCCAAGGAAGCCCGTGCTGACTGTCCTTTACCTGCAGTCAACCTGGAGCTTTCATGGTACTAAGTTACTTAAAGGATGTCTGAGCAGACAAGGCTTGGAATATAATCTGTGAACATTGTAAATACTCCTTTGGGCCACTCAAAGCCACTAACAGAATCTCACTAACTCACCCATCTTTTAAATATTTATCAATTTAATAATTATCGACACTCAAGAAAGGTTGAGATCTATGGAAGATGTAGGTTAAATAATTTATTTACACAAAAATTTTCTTTACTGCTTAATAATAACCTATGAAATAGGCGCATTCCCTTCCTTCCTTCCTCCCTTTCTCCCTTCCTCCGTCTCTCCCTCATCCCTCCCTCTCGCTCTCTCTCTTTGGATAAGGTGATCACAAAACCTAAGTGGTATATGGATCATAATCGCTACAGGCTTTCAATGACTTACTATCCATAATTAAGGTAAACACAATGTGCTCTTGAACCAAGAAGAAAAATGCCAGACCCCGATTGGGAGACTCAGAATGACTTCCTGAAAAGATACTTTGGGCTGGGATCTGAGGCTTCAATCGAATTTGTTCTACGAAGAAAACAA